ATTTTCTTACCCGATTTCAGAAAATTCCTGGCTTCTTCGGTAGACCTAAACTTGAAAAGCACAGGACACGGGTGGTTTGCAGATTTCTTACGAAGACGCAAACCTGACATTCTGTCAACGACATATTACAAGCCTTTAGACACGAATTCTTAAGTTTGGCAATCGGCTCTCTGTCTGGAATGTTATAGGCCAAGACGTTATGTGAAGACATAATCCTCTTAACAGCTTCTTCAGCCAAATAGTCAATTATGCGCTCGGATTTGATTAGTGATTCAAAACAGATGTTTTGTGGTGGGTCACACAGTTGCGTGAGAGGCATAATGCTGTCAAACTTGCTCTGTAGTTCTGCTATTGACTTCTGAAGTGTCAGTAAATCATTTTTGCTACAAGCCGCATTCTCTGCTAATTCCTCCATGATATCAGATACCATAACTCTGGGTATGGCTGGTGTAAACAGTGTAGAATTGTCAACGGAGCTGAGGCCTTCAGATGGCTGACTAGTATTAGATCTCAGTCTCTTAACGGTACTTACACGTTTGATAGACTTAACCATTACAGAAATAAGAAACTTCACAATTTCCGGAAAAAAAGTCTTGAGGATATGAAAATAAGATATAGATGTTAGCCTGGTGATGGGTAAATCTAGAGTTGCACCTCTAAAGACGGTTTTGATTCCGAGATTAGAACTTAATGCAGCCTTGCTAGCTGCACAGTTATTCACAACGGTGTGTAAAGAGTTGGATTACCCCAAGCATCCCGTAACGTTTTTGGACTGATTCGATGTCTGTGATTGTTATGTTCTAGTTTCCCCGTCGCCAAATTGTTATGTACTCGTCGCTGAATTATTGTTATGGACTGGTCGAGAAACTAATAGTCCTGACGCGAGAAGGCGGAAATCAGAAGACCACTAGGTTTGCGATGATACTTCTATTGTCCAAACACAAGGAGACGAAAATAAATGGTCTCACACCAAAGTGGTAAGCAAGTCAAGTAGTTGTAAAGTAAAGTAGAGAGTAGTTCACACAAATTGTGAATGCGAATATATATATAAATAATTCAGACAAGCGTGGGAAAAATCATTAGACAGTCTTAACATGAATGGCTAATTATAATGGAGTGTCGATCCAATTATACATAGCGAATATAGCAGACATGCCAACAAACATATATGGATATATGTCACCAAGCAACGGACTGTCAACAAACACTCATATTACATATAATATAATATAAGGAGAATACACATTGTTAAAGGAGACAAGTCCATACAAGTGAAGTGGTCACAGACTAACCGAGCAAACAGAAAGAGAGACCAACATGCACACACACACATAAATATATATATGTGGATACATATCAGTGATATATTATATACGCAACGAGTCAGCAAGATATGCATGTTTTGTAGCTAACAGAGTATCTCAAATTCGTGAACTAACAACTGTTGAGCAGTGGAGGTACGTACCGTCTGGAAAAAATCCAGCTGACCTAGCCTCGCGAGGAGTTATTGATATGAATGTGGTTAAAAATAAGTGGTGGAAAGGTCCAGAGTTCCTGCTAAGGGCTGATAGTATGTGGCCTAGTAGAGAAGATGAACCACCGATAAACGAGTGTGCCTCGGAGTTGAAGACAAGTGTCAGTTTAACATCTACTCAAGAAAGACATTCAGGTTTACATCCACTTTTTAAATATTATTCTTCTTGGTACAAACTACTGAAAGCTGTTGCGTGGTTGACACGATATGTTACGTATTTAAAGGTCATGAATCTTGCGGGATACGAAAATATGAATGTGGGGCCTTTGAGAGTCAAAGATATTAGAAATGCAGAGTTAACGATTTTGAGGGCTGCTCAGTGGGAAGCGTGGGGTGAGATTGCCAAGGAGGATAGTCCCGATTTCGCAGATTTCAAGGTGCGGTTAGATAGATTATCTCCGATAGTTTCCGAAGGGATCGCTAGAGTTGGTGGACATCTACAAATGTTAGAATCGTCATATGAGACCCGTCATCCGGCTTTATTACCTTGCTACCATCCAGTCACTGATCTCATTATAAGACACTACCATATTCTTGAAGGTTATTTGGGTACTTCGCAAGTACTATCAAGTATTCGATGTAAGTTCTGGATAGTGAAGGGAAGTACTGCTGTCCGTAAAATAATTGATAAGTGCATAGAATGTAAACTCCGAAATGCTCGTCCAGTACAGCAGATGATGGCACCACTCCCAGCGTGGCAAGCTTCTGAAGGGAATTATCCATTTGAGTACGTTGGGGTGGATTTGTTCGGACCTTTTGTAGTGAAGAGAGGCAGAACCCTATGTAAAAGATATGGCTGTTTATTCACCTGTTTGAAAATGAGAGCTGTGCATATTGAGATGGTTCATACGCTAACTACTGATTCATTCGTGCTAGCATTACATAGATTTATAAATCGGCGGGGTGTACCGAAGATGATGTTCAGCGACAGAGGGACTAATTTTGTTGGCTATCACGCCGACCTTAAAGAGTACTTCGAAGGTCCTCAAACGAGAGTTCAGGAAGAGTTACTGAAAAGGAACATCGAGTGGCACTTCAATCCACCACATGCCAGCCATAGAGGCGGGCTATGGGAAAGACTTATAGGAACAGTGCAAACAAACTCGGAGATCGTGTCTTGATGGAATTCCTTTGAAGAATCGCAGGACTTACACCAGTACGCCTGCAACCCTTCACAGGTTGACGATTGTTATTTGTGGAATGTCCGGACACAAACAAGATTAACCAACAATTACAATAATTGGAACTCACAATTATTTAACACAAACATATGTACAATCACTACATCAAATGTTGTGGGTTCTGCCACGACAAACTTCCCTTGAAGAACTGTAGGACTTACAGCAGTACGCCTACATTCCTTCTCAGGTTGATGATCCAAGTGGAAGTCGTCCGAACACAAACAGAATTACCAACAGCTAGATAACAGATGATATCAATTCAGTATATACAATATGAACATATGTACAAAATCACACACCCAGTACATTGGACTGCTCATTGATGCGCTACTCTTTGAAGAATTGTAGGACTTACAGCAGTATGCCTACAACCCTTCTCAGGTTGACGCCCTAGGTTGGAAAATAATATAATAATAATAATATATATGTATATAAAATCATCTATTGTTTCATCCTCCGACTCTCTACTCTCAGCACCTTCCAGGAGACACAGTTTTCTGATATCTCGCACCAACATGCCACAACTAGTCCTCACCTCAACCGTCCTCACCAATCCATCACCATTACAGATCAGCCTTACTACCACTCCCAAAGGCCACCTACCTGTGGCACATTTATCTGCTACGAATACTATGTCACCAATCTTTAAGTTTCGGCACAACTTTTTCCACTTGTCCCTGGTTTGCAGTGTTAGAACATACTCCTTTAACCATCTTTTCTACAATATATCCCTCATGTGCATGGCTTGTTTCCATCTTTTAATCGTAGGTATTCCTTCCCCGCTTGCGTCCTCTATGCCAGGGTTGCCTCTCAATAACAATAATTTATTTGGGGCTAACACATCAAAATCCTTGACGTCGTCCCACACAGGTGATAACGGCCGATCATTTAATATTCGTTCAGCTTCACAAAAAAATGTCTCTAGCGTTTCGTCATTCAAACTCTGGTTTTTAATTATGGAGCTTAAAATACGCTTGATAATTCCTACAAGTCTTTCCCATAGCCCGCCTCTATGGCTGGCATGTGGTGGATTGAAGTGCCACTCGATGTTCCTTTTCAGTAACTCTTCCTGAACTCTCGTTTGAGGACCTTCGAAGTACTCTTTAAGGTCGGCGTGATAGCCAACAAAATTAGTCCCTCTGTCGCTGAACATCATCTTCGGTACACCCCGCCGATTTATAAATCTATGTAATGCTAGCACGAATGAATCAGTAGTTAGCGTATGAACCATCTCAATATGCACAGCTCTCATTTTCAAACAGGTGAATAAACAGCCATATCTTTTACATAGGGTTCTGCCTCTCTTCACTACAAAAGGTCCGAACAAATCCACCCCAACGTACTCAAATGGATAATTCCCTTCAGAAGCTTGCCACGCTGGGAGTGGTGCCATCATCTGCTGTACTGGACGAGCATTTCGGAGTTTACATTCTATGCACTTATCAATTATTTTACGGACAGCAGTACTTCCCTTCACTATCCAGAACTTACATCGAATACTTGATAGTACTTGCGAAGTACCCAAATAACCTTCAAGAATATGGTAGTGTCTTATAATGAGATCAGTGACAATAACAATAACAATTTCGCTTTATTCCAGAAACAGTACTTGTGGTACAGTGTGGAATTTTCAGCACATATCTACAATATTGCATCTAATTTCATCATGCGTTTAAAAGGAGTATTATAAAAAAAAATAAAATATTTAAAAAAAAAAACAAAAAAAGACAATAACAACAAAAAAACCAAAAAGAAACACAGAAATAACAAAAAAAATGCAATAAAAAATGCCAAGTAAAAAGGAAGATAAACACAAATAATGAAAAAATATTTCAGTATTGGTTAGTGGAAGCTACGATATGAGTATGCGTGGTGAACAGTAACAGCTATAATCATACGGGGAATTATGAGATGTTCTTAAAAAAATGTTTATAGCTAAGATGATCAGTTAATCTGATTGAACAACACTAAGCAATCATAAGATAAACATTTCAGGTTGTGTTTTTTTTTTATTGTCAGCACTAATGCGGTTGTTTGTAGTGGTAGTGTGAGGAATCATGTATAATACAAAATTTTTTAAGATGGTGATAGTGGCAATAACAAACAAGATTGTCAGTTAAATAGTGCCGAACAAAGAACAACCACAAAACTAATGTTACATGATGGTTAATGACGGGACAATTTTTAATAATCATAGTGATAATACAGTCGGACCCAGTAGATGTATAAAGAAGGAATAGAATAAAGAATAAAAAAGTAAGCCAATGATAATAATTTTAAGCAGCTAAGTATGTTTAAGAAGGTTGTTCACTATGGAGTACAAATAAGAGAGTGTAAGGGGGAAATAACAAGGGCCAAAATTATGTTATTAACAACAAAGCAAGTCATAGGTTTCACGCCTAACATTGTCTCTGTCACTTAGAACACGGGCCAAATATGGTATCGTTGAGTTCCTATACTTGGTTGTACGAGCATATATTATTTTGTACTGATTTCTGGTTCTACCTGATGAGATGCAAGGAGAGAGTTGGGAATAGAGGGGGTGTTGGCAGTCAGAGAGTATGGTTTTAGACCATTTCTCACATGTATTCAGATGCTTATCCACTAATGTTGTGACGAGCTGACTGAGTTTTACACCGCTAGTCCTACTAACTACCTTCAACATCCTTCTCAGGATGGTATAATCCTTTTTCAGTAACCCAGGAAAGACTAACGGGGAACAGTAAAGTAGAATAGGTAGGATACGAGAGTTGACAAATTGTGAAAGCAGAGGTTGAGTGACTCCAGTTAGTCTGAGTTTCTTAATGTAGTAGGTTAGACGAAACACTTTCTTGGAAATCATTTGGATATGAGATGACCAAGTAAGGTCGGAAGATATAACTAATCCGAGGTATTTTGCATTAGACTTTGTTTCAATTATAGTCCCCTCAATTCTACAGACATCATGAGTGCTTACTAGTGTTTGTAGATCTCGTTTGTGCCTAAAGGAGAAGTCGACAGTCTGGCATTTTGAGGGATTCAGCGTTAGGCCATTTAGTTTAGACCACTGACTGATGTCCGACAGGAAGCTATTTAATTTGAAGCAGTCTGAATGAGACTTAACGGGAAGCGAAACAGTCAGGTCATCTGCATATTTGACGAAGTTGATTTCGTCTGAGAGAGGTAAGTCATGTAAGAAGAAGGAAAAGAGAAACGGCGAGAGAACAGCACCCTGAGGAACACCAGCTTCAGTAAGCAAAGGAGAGGAAGCTACACCATTATATACCGTGTACTGCATCCTATTGGAGAAGTAAGAGTGCAGCCAGTTGATAGCCCAGGACTCAGTTTGTGTAAGGCTAAGCTTGTTCAACAAAAGGCCTCTAGGTACAGAGTCAAAAGCCGATGTGTAATCAAGGAAAGTACAACGGACATACTTGGCCCCTTTGTCTAAGGAGGATACAATGTTGTGATGAAACACAGCAGCAGCATCCAAAGTACTTCTACCCTGTTTGTAAGCAAACTGCTTTGGATCGTTTGAGAAGCTTAGGGAGGGAATGAGCTTTTGTAACAGTAATTTCTCCATCAGTTTCAAAAAAGGAGAGGTAATGGCAATTGGTCTAAACTTAACACTATCTCCAGAACCAGACTTGGGTACAGGGATGATTTTAATATCTTTCCACAGAGAAGGTACACTATTATTAGAAAAAGAAGTATTGAAAATGCTTGTAAGTGGGTTACTTAAAATATCAGCACATTTTTTTAAAACAATGGCAGGTATACCATCGGGGCCTAGACTCTGGGAAGGTTTAAGAGATTTCAAACATTTAAGAACATCAGAAGTATTGAAACGATGAAAGTCACTGGTCGTGTTATTAGTTAAATTGAAGGCAGAAAGGACATTTGGAGGGCGGATGAAAGATCTATTGAGAGTATTTACATCAATAGAAGAGGCAAAATTATTATGCTTACCACAACCAGTAATTTCTCTAAAAAGTTTCCATATGTTTTCTGGTGTTTTACAAGATAGTATTGTTTGATTATAAATGTTGTTTAGTCTCTTGATTTCAGATTTAATTTGGGTGTTTATCTTCTTAAGACCAGATTTATTCTTTGTCTTGTACAGCTTCTCTTTTTCTCTACGAAGTTTTTTGAGATGAGGGGAAGCGAAACGATCCATTCTTTTGAAAATTATCTGTTTTGGACAGCATATATCAAGACAGAATTTAAGATAGTCAGTCAAATTGGAAATAGTATCATCCAGTTTTAGTTCGTTGAAAAGTTCCCAGTTAGTGTCATTTAGCATGCATCTTAGTTTGAGCATATTTTCTTGTGAGTAACACCTTTGCTGTGTTTTCTTGGACAGATTTGAGAAGATATTAAAGTGAGATCTGCTGTATATCTTAGGTAATATCCGAATAATACAATGATCTGAGTTCATGATAGGAGCACGTCGGCGTACTTCATATATTTCCTCATCATTAATGAACACCAGGTCAAGGGTTTTATCAAGTCGACTGGATGGTAGCAAGGTAATAAAGCCGGATGACGGGTCTCATATGACGATTCTAACATTTGTAGATGTCCACCAACTCTAGCGATCCCTTCGGAAACTATCGGAGATAATCTATCTAACCGCACCTTGAAATCTGCGAAATCGGGACTATCCTCCTTGGCAATCTCACCCCACGCTTCCCACTGAGCAGCCCTCAAAATCGTTAACTCTGCATTTCTAATATCTTTGACTCTCAAAGGCCCCACATTCATATTTTCGTATCCCGCAAGATTCATGACCTTTAAATACGTAACATATCGTGTCAACCACGCAACAGCTTTCAGTAGTTTGTACCAAGAAGAATAATATTTAAAAAGTGGATGTAAACCTGAATGTCTTTCTTGAGTAGATGTTAAACTGACACTTGTCTTCAACTCCGAGGCACACTCGTTTATCGGTGGTTCATCTTCTCTACTAGGCCACATACTATCAGCCCTTAGCAGGAACTCTGGACCTTTCCACCACTTATTTTTAACCACATTCATATCAATAACTCCTCGCGAGGCTAGGTCAGCTGGATTTTTTCCAGACGGTACGTACCTCCACTGCTCAACAGTTGTTAGTTCACGAATTTGAGATACTCTGTTAGCTACAAAACATGCATATCTTGCTGACTCGTTGCGTATATAATATATCACTGATATGTATCCACATATATATATTTATGTGTGTGTGTGCATGTTGGTCTCTCTTTCTGTTTGCTCGGTTAGTCTGTGACCACTTCACTTGTATGGACTTGTCTCCTTTAACAATGTGTATTCTCCTTATATTATATTATATGTAATATGAGTGTTTGTTGACAGTCCGTTGCTTGGTGACATATATCCATATATGTTTGTTGGCATGTCTGCTATATTCGCTATGTATAATTGGATCGACACTCCATTATAATTAGCCATTCATGTTAAGACTGTCTAATGATTTTTCCCACGCTTGTCTGAATTATTTATATATATTCGCATTCACAATTTGTGTGAACTACTCTCTACTTTACTTTACAACTACTTGACTTGCTTACCACTTTGGTGTGAGACCATTTATTTTCGTCTCCTTGTGTTTGGACAATAGAAGTATCATCGCAAACCTAGTGGTCTTCTGATTTCCGCCTTCTCGCGTCAGGACTATTAGTTTCTCGACCAGTCCATAACAATAATTCAGCGACGAGTACATAACAATTTGGCGACGGGGAAACTAGAACATAACAATCACAGACATCGAATCAGTCCAAAAACGTTACGGGATGCTTGGGGTAATCCAACTCTTTACACACCGTTGTGAATAACTGCGCAGCTAGTAAGGCTGCATTAAGTTCTAATCTCGGAATCGAAACCGTCTTTAGAGGTGCAACTCTAGATTTACCCATCACCAGGCTAACATCTATATCATTCCTTAAGGTGGTTCTGATGTATATGGCTGCACCAAATCCAACCTCAGAGGCATCAGAAAAAACATGGAAGTCAATTATATCATGATTTCTCGACGGCTTAAGTGGACGTGAGACGGAATGTAGATTCAGCATTCTTAAACTGTTAACCCACCCCTTCCACTCTTCTCTCTGCCTCTCACTTAATGGTTCATCCCACTGTAACCCTTTCCTGCATGTCTCTTGAAATAACCTCCTAGCCGGAAGTAGATAAGGTGCTACTAATCCAAGTGGGTCAAACACGGACGACAACACAGAGAGCACACCTCTCCGAGTAACTGGCTTATCAATATCACCAACACTAAATCCAAAGGTATCAGAGTTCACATCCCATCGCATACCTAATGTGCGTTCAACTGGTAGAGTATCAACAGGCAAATCTCGTACGGTAGGTGCTCTGTCTTCTGGATCTATATGCTTCAAAACGTCTAGGCTGTTCGAGACCCACTTAGTTAGACGAAAGCCGGCCTTAGCTAACACTTCAGTGATGCTTGTTGCAAATCTAACTGCAGACTTATCATCATCGAAGGAGGCTAAACAATCATCCACGTAGAAGCAACAATCTATGACGTCCAGCAAATCATTAGAACCAAATGTGGACACTGCCTTTCGTAGAGCAAAATTAGCACAAAACGGGGGGGACGTGGCACCAAATGGATGCACTGTCATCCTATATTCTGACACCTTACCACAAGGACCGTCATCAAACCACAAAAACCTCAAGTGATCTCTGTCACTCTCTGGCACCTTCACCTGTAGGAACATTTCCTCAATATCCGCCGCGACAGCAACTGTAAACTTTCTGAATCTCAATAGCAGTCCCACTAATGAGCTCACGCAATCTGGGCCACTATACAGATTATCATTTAAAGAGACTCCTTCATGTTTCGCAGAACAATCAAACACCACACGGAGTTTACCTGGCTTCCTCGGGTTAAAGACGGGATGATGGGGCAAATACCACTTCCCTGGCTCACTCTGATCAACTAGTCTTTCAACGTAACCCTTCATTATATGTTTATCGACGACTTCCTTATATTTGGACCAGAGTTCTGCATCTGACAGAAATTTCTTCTGTAAACCCATTAGTCTCTTAAGAGCAACTTTCCTATTACAAACCAACTGTCTATCTTTGAATCTCCATGGTAGGCCAACGCTGAAACGCCCGTTTTCGTATTTACAAGAGTCCTCGGCTATTTTAACTGCTTTTAAGTCTTCTACAGAACGACCCTTCCCTGGGACACCGCAGTCACAAAACTCCTTGTCATACATATTTTTAATCATAGTTTCTAGTTTGTCCCCATCGTTTGTAACTAATGATGATATGTGGACTATGGGTATAGGTCCTCTCACTGTCCATCCCAGTGGTGTTTTTGTCGCAAACAGATCATCTCTACCTCCAAATCTCTCTTCTAATACCTTGTGAGCTTCTGGCACACTACATCCAATGAGTACTCTCACTCTTCCATCTTGCAGTGTTGGAAGAGGTATGTCACACAGGTATGGCTTACCGACAACCGTTTCACGACTAGGTACTATAGCTTCGCCAAGTTTCATACTGGAGGTAGTGTAAGCAGTATCCACTTCCACGGTCTCCCCAGTAGCCAAGGATTCTAACTGAAATGACACTCGCTCACATACTACTGTTTTCGCAGAATTGAAAGTATTTACAACCAAGGGTTGCTTTGGGCCTTTAATACCCAAGCAACCAGCCAGTTCAGCATCTATCAATGTAACGTCTGAACCATTATCCAACAATGCATAAGTCTCTACTGAAGATTTCGGTCCTTTCACCTTAACTGGTAATACCCCTAAGAAAACTTGTGGGATGTCAAGGGGTCTAGAGATACTATTACAATTAACCGAATTCCCAGGTTCGTTCACTGTTCTCAGAAGTGGGTGCATATCCGTTAAACCACTACTTCTTTTATTTGTCGCCTTACAATTCCACTTTGTATGCCCAATCTTTAAACAACTGAAACACAGCCGCTTCTGCTTTGCCATTTTTAACCTTTCTACGGGTGACATAGCGATAAAGCGATTACAATCACTCAATTGATGCATGTTATGGCAAACAATACACTCATCCTTTCTCGTTGTGTCTTGAGACTTCACCACAAATGCCTTCCTTATATACATTGGTTCCTTAGGTTCTACCTTAGAATGCAAAATGCTGGCGAATTTGCCCATCGCCTGGTTGACACTGTCCTTCACCAGTCTAAGAATATCATCAAACCTTGGCTCGATACCCTCATCCTCTATACGAGAGCTTATTTTCACCCACCTCCTTTGCAGCCGAGTAGGTAGGCGTCTCGCAATTACCTCTAGGACTGAGCTCGAGTTGAGGTCACTCATGCAATTCATAGAAATCAAGGTATTCTTATAAGTCATCAGATTATCTAAAAACTCAGTAAGTGCCTTGGAGTCATCTTGAAGTTGACTGCCGTTACCTTTGACAGCTTCGAATACGTTCCTTACAATCATTGAAGGTCTTCCAAACCTTTGACGTAGTATGCTCATAGCCTCAGCGTATCCCTCATTGGGGGGCATGAGCTTACAGCACTGTATAGCTCTTGAAGCAACTCCAGTGCAATACCTCATCAAATACATCAATTTCAATTCATCACTTAATAAAAAACTACTCAGCATGATCTCAAACTCCTTTAAAAATTCTAAATAATCAACCAGGTTTCCATCGAAACACCGTGGTTCAAATTTAGGGAGTTTGATGTTCCTATTATCCCTGAACGGCGAAACAGTAACATCAACCATGTCATGCTTAACGTCAGACACATCGTTACAAGTAACAGACAAGTCAACATGACTTACTTTCCTGTTTGCATTCAAGACGCTCTGTCCCTTCTTTGA